GAATACATATGAAATGTCAAATAGTTATTAAAGATACGATAGACCCACTAGCTCTGTAGTCCGTTTAAGGACATGAAATGATGTTTTGTTATTTAGAAAACTAAATAAAGATGAGTAATTAAGTATAAACTTGTCACCTAGACTGTATTTAAGGGCTTACAAATGCACCAGATGTACAAATGGTAACACTGTCGACCTGAATATGCATGAAATAGTTGCCACTAGACGTTAAGCATAAGCAAGCAATAAACAATAACCAATCGATCAGGTGGTAAAACTTTGTGGTTTCTTCCTTTCAGAATAAGCTTTCGATTTTTTTATGAAATAGCTGAAGCTGAAATTTTGCAAAAATTAATAAGAAGAAATTAAATAAAAAATATCAATCATTTGTTTGAAAAACAATTGCTGACGTTCTTTCCCATTCAAAACATAGTTGATTGATTGGTTGCTTGTATAATTGATTGAAAAATTAATAAGAAGAAATTAAATAAAAAATATAAATCAATTGTTTGAAAAACAATTGTTGACGTTCTTTTCCCTTCAAAACATAGTTGATTGATTGGTTGCTTGTTTGATTGATTGGTTGATTGTTTGGTTGGTTGGTTGGTTGGTTGGTTGAATGACTGATTAAACACAAGGGACCAGGCCTCTAGGAACAAGCTAAAAAGGATTTGACAGCCTATATCCCCTGTTAAACACGTGAGACTGGGCCTCTAGGAACTAGCGAAAAAGGGATTGAGGGCCTAGATTCCCTGTTAAACTCATGAGACTTGGCCTCTAGGAATTAGCGAAAAAAGGAATTGCGGCATGCATGCATAAATGATTGATTGGTTGGTTGTTTGCGAGGCATCGAATTTAACGGCCCCATTCTGACCAAACGTGGCTGTGTATTTATACATCCCGCGCAGCGATACCGACGACCCGGATGCCCTTATTAAAAAAAATCCTGGCATCTTTCCTTGATAAATTTTCTCTATTCCCTACGAAACCTCGGACTTAATGTTTTATTTATTTGTTGTTTGTGCATTGTTTTTCAGTTTTGTAAGGTAATCGGACCTCGATCTTTACTTTTGTAAAATTTAGGTGTACATTTTAAATTCTATTCGAATGGGGGAAAACCCCTGTTTTATTTAAGGTAGCACGCGCTGAAGATGATGTGATTGTGACGTCACCAAGCACATATACATTTGATATACATTAATTGATATTTTATTGTGTGTCTTTTTATGTTGTTATGTTATACCACTGTTTCAGGTTAGGGTGAAGGTTGGCGCCTGTTAAAACGTTTAAACCCCCTACATTTTTGTGCACCTGTCCTAAGTCAGGAGCCTGTTTTTCAGTGGTTGTCGTTTGTTGGTGTGGTTCATAAGTGTTACTCGTTTCTCTTTTTTTTTATATAGATTAGACAGTTGGTTTTCCTGTTTGAATTGTTTTACACTAGTCTTTTTGGGGCCCTTTATAGCTTGCTGTTCGGTGTGAGCCAAGGCTCCGTGTTGAAAGCCGTACTTTGACCTATAATTGTTCACTTTTTACACATTGAGACGTGGATGGATAGTTGTCTCATTGGCACTCATATCACATCATCTTATTTATATTATATAGTCAAACTGATCCTTTGCAGATGGAGACGTCGTTAGGACAGGTCATACGTATAAACATTGTGCTAACGGATTTAGTTATCTTTTATTTACAGGTAAATTGATGTTTGATCCTTGATTAAGAGTTTTTGTGTAATGCATGCCTTTGTGAAATTTTATAGTGTGTAGTTTAACAAGACGTTTATCGATTATTTTCAGAAAAAATATATGAACTGGTTCAGATTTTTGCAGGACGGATTTCTATTTTAGATGTGTGTACATGTATCGGATGCACTTTTACAGTAATATTTACGGGACAGAAGGCGATTTTCAATTCAATAGAATTGTGATCCCTCAAAAAAAATATAAGGGGGGGATAGATGGCGGGAACCTGGTTGGTTCGTTCGTTGGTTGATTGATTGATTGAGATAAGACACATGTTTATAATGAAAGCTGCATAGTTTGAAGTTATAATTAGTCAATTTGTTGACCTGACTATTTCACTCATCAATAAAATGATGAGTACCATTTTGAGACTAACAATTTTTTTTAATTTTTTTTGTCGATATCTATAACTCATTCTGAGTAGAAACCAAATGGAGTAAAAGTCAAAATTTAGAACATGACGCTGACCTTTGACCTTGACCTCATTTTCTTTCTGGTGGACCCAGGACCTCAAATCAGAAGAGCCCAGGTCTCTATCAATTAAGATTTACCAGTTACAATCTAATTAAAATTAAATCTCCGCGCTTGCTCCTCGTTGTTTATATGTCGCGCGTGGACATATAAACAACGAAGAGCAAGATTGTACCAGTTACAAATTCATATCACTTATATCAAATACATAAAGGGAAATAACTCTCATATGGAGTCTCCGGATCGCTTCGGTCAAAAGATTTTTTTCGACATCCTGAGGATAAAACGAGCAATTTGGGAAAATAAATTTGTCGGTTTCTTTTACGGTTGCGAAGACGAAACGATCACAAGATAAACAGTGTTTGGGGAGATAACTCTTACAAAGAAAAGTGTTCGGTTAAACGGTGTCAGTTTTAAAAGCATATTAACTGTTCGATATCATATACCACATATCTAAGCGACATCTTGGGCAATAAAATCTTCTCACATGAAATAAAAATGGCGGGAAAAAAAATAATGATCAGAACAAAATCAATAGGTCTTTCCATGGAAAAGTGGAAAGACCTAATAATCAGAACAAAATCAATAGGTCTTTCCACGGAGAAGTGGAAAGACCTAATAGTTAAAAACCGATTGTTCAGAGAACATTTGAAGGTCTTTCCACCTCAAATAGACATATCTAAACAGGAAAATATTCAATTATGGTTTAGAATGTCAATTCTGGTGTCAGATAATAGCTTAACTTATGCTGATTCTGAAAATATATGGTTTTTATATACTTTTGCTGAAAATAAGGGAGATAAGAAGGTATTTCCGGTTTACAAAATGCTACTTGCGGTTACATTCGAACCTTACTTCACACTAGTATAAGTCAAAAGTATAAGTTCTAGTAAATTGTATATAAAAATATTGCAAATCTGGCTACTTCCGGTTGACCTTTTTCAAGGTCATATATCTGTAACCCAATGTAAAATACCCTTTGACTTTATCTTGAACCAATTAGAAGTAAGAGCATCAAAATCTAGAACGACTTATCAAAATTTAACCTTGACCCCAATTTCAAGGTCATACAACAAGGACTTCAAATCAAAAGACCCTAGGTCTCTACTATATATGGTTTATGAGTTATATCACCATACAGCTAATTTTAAATATAAGAGGGAAGAAAACTCCCATTAAGGTAGCACAATACAAAGATTTTATACCTCCAACTCCCCAGTTTTAAAATGCTGTAACTTTCTTTATAATGCTTGAAAATTTATAAAAGTGGTATTTATAGATAGCTAACAGATTACTCTTTCAAATTATGCAATGTTAGTATTATACAACAATTATGTAATTAATTATAATTTTAACTGTGTCTACAAAATTTTACAATAAATTTCCACTTTCAATTGAAATTAGCTTCTGCATGGATACCCCGAGAGGGTTGATTTTATAATATGTTGTTCCTAGAGCCATTATCTACAAAAGCGTGTCTCAGATTTTGGATAGAATGTATAGATCAAATTTTACACCTAATCAAATAATCTCTACTTTTATGTGGTAAAGATGTTTACACTAATTACAGATTTATGAGAGAATGGAATACGATAGCGATAATTTGAGACATCTTTTTGTAGCTCCTGCTGTGTTGATTAAGATAACGTTAAAATTTCTTGTGTAGTTATAGAGATGTCAGAGCTAAATTCATTCAAGTGAACTGACCAAGATTTTGCCATTAATTGCATAATAATTGATTTCATAATGATTGCATAACAAAAATATTGCATTCATTTAAAAGGTTAATCTTTTATCTATATATATATACCTCTTTTATTAATTTGTATGCAGTCATAAGAAAGTAACATCATTTTAAAGGTTGGAGATTGGAAGTAAAAAAATCTTTGTTTTGTGCTACCTTAAATGTCTACGTAATCTTTCAACCAAAAGTCATGTGTTACAGCATGACGCAACTAACAATTCTGTAAAAACATTTTGTCGATATCTTATACGATTTCTGAAAATAAGTGGTAATAAGCCAAAATCAAAATTTAGAACATGACCTTGACCTTTGACCAAGAAAAACAGTGTTCGGGGAGATAACTCTTTCAAAGAAAAGTGTTCGGTTATGCGGTGTCAGTTTCAAAAGCGCATTAACTGTTCGATATCATATATCAAATATATATATGCGACATAATTTGAAACACCAAAACAGTGCAAGAAAAAAATTAGGCGGAAGAAAAAAAAATAATCATAACAAAAGCAAAAGGTCTTTCCACGGAAAAGTGGAAAGACCTAATAATCAGAACAAAATCAATAGGTCTTTCCACGGAAAAGTGGAAAGACCTAATAATCAGAACAAAATCAATAGGTCTTTCCATGGAAAAGTGGGAAGACCTTATTATACTGTTACACCTGTTCGTATGATTTTCATCGTTTTTCGTTTTGCCATGGCGTTGTCTGTTTGTCTTCAAATAAAGTATCCCTTTAGTATCTTCCGCCACTCTTTTACAAAATTTAAGATCGAATTCTCTAAATACCGACTGTCCATCTTATTGCCTCCAACGTTTCATTCTTAAATGTATCCCCATAATTCATTGCAATTCCTACGATCAAATATGTCGATAAAAAGGTACCTGAGCATCAAAATGTATTATTTTAAGTGACAAAGAGCGAAGCAAAAACTATGTTTTCTTGATAGTGAAAACAAAGTAACTTTAAAGGAAGATACGTTTACTTGCAGTAAAATAATCCTTTTTTTTTAATTTAGTCTTGAAAATACTGCGAATTAAGTGAAATGCAAAAAAGGATTCAATATTTATTTTTCTCATCAATAAATTAACCTCTTCGAATCATCATGGCAGCATATTTCAGAGAATATTCGGAACCTTTCCAATATGCCCACTGTATAAGATTTTCTCCAGTCAGACCTTTCTTGTTGTTTGCATATGAAAATGTGAAGCAGACGTTGTCACATTTACCGAACCACCACCCACCACCAACTCTGCTAAAGTGTACCGCACAATTGAAATTCGCAAGATCATTGTCTTGGTCAGGTGTTGTGAACTTCATTCCATTGTGATGTGGAAATGCATCGCCTGGAACATGAAAATGACGTAATTTAGTGTTGTTGGTAGAACATGTATCTGTTACTAAATTTGGAACCTTGTAGAATAGGAGCCAATTTGGCATTTTCCATAGCAGAAGATTCTTACCTGGTCGACTGTTTTTGCTATTACTTTAGTTGTTAAATTGGTTAGTATGTTCAAATGGATTTGCGATATTTGAACATCGGTGCACTACTGTTGAATCTTATCTATCACCACGAGAGGACGGAGTATCTGCCCGAGGACTCTACAAGCCCGGTAGCTTAACTTCAAGTCACATAGTGGATATGGTATCGGTATAATGGATGGCACTTCGCCAAAATTAAAAAAAAATTGTATATCGGATGTTGTTTAGGACACAAAAATCCAGAATAAAATAGGTGTTCCTAAGACCATCTTAAAAGATGTTATGAAATCGACTTATGTTCAGTTTTCAGATTCCTCCTTGTAATACGAAAATGCAGACCATTATGTTTTATATTCGACCCTGAACTGTAAAACTTTTGGACATTTCAATGACAAAATACGACTTTTAACCTGTGATAATCAATTACTGGTATTTGTTTTCAAACTAAACCACCAAATGTTATAAAACATGTAGTCATACGGATCGGAATTGTACTGTTGCCAATTGTATAGAATGTACTCGTCGTAGACAAATCTATGTCGGCCATGTTGAAATATGACAAAGACAGAACAAAAGAATGCATGATCACCGGTGCAATGTCATTGATCCATAAAATGATAAATTTCCATATAAACACTAGCCAGCCTAATAATGCCTTTGCTGCTATGAAGCTAGGTCAGGATTATAAAGTAAATTTATCATTCAACTACTGTCCCGTATTTAGTACTAACTGCTGTTTACAAATAGAACATTTCTGGATTCGAGAATAAGGAAATTTAAAACTTTACCTTACGTATACAACGCAGTGTTGGAAGTGTAAATATTTTGTCAAGTCTCAGATATGAGTGGCCGTTCATGTCATTTGCGCGATTATATACGCGTATATAATTTTATACGCGTATATAATCGCGCAAATGACATGAACGGCCACTCATATTCAGATGTAGCGATATCAACAAATTGTAATTGTGCATATGTCCGACATATAAGGAATCGTGCTAATCGCATATCATACCGTGTCTTTATCATTCACCAAATTCCAACTTAATTGTTTTCAATTACCATTCTATTATCAAGGCTAAATTCTCCAAATAGATTTAAAGTATAACGAAATACCGGACTCCAAGGTAAATTCAAAAAGGGGAAGTCCACAAAAACTGACTAAATCAAACGTTATCAACCAACGGATCGAGTGGAACACAACTTTCGTATTTCTGACAAGGTACAGGCATATTCCGAAGAAAATGGTGAGTTAAACCTGGTTTAATAGCTAGTTACACCTCCCACTTGTATGACAGTTGTTCATAATTCCGTTACATTGCCAAACTTTGGTGAGCAACCCAGACAGACATTGTAAGGTTAATGTCACAATTATTGGTACCCAGCAGCAAAAACTGTGTAAATATGCATTTCAGATTTACAACATAACTGACTTAAAAATTCAAACAAACATACAAATAAATCTAACCAAGACGCGAACAGAAAATTGCAGTTGATAGTAAATTTGACAATGACGTTTACAAAAACGTTTTAGTATATTGACTAAAACGCCGATAAAAATTGTTTGTAGATAATAGTACATACCATATATAGTGTTCACTTTCTCGATTAAGTACAAGTTAAGTTAAATATAAGTACAAGTACAAGGGTAAACAAAATGGAAACAACACTGTAAAAACACCAAGTTTTTCTAACCCCAAGCAATTATGGATTAAGCCAGATTTCGCACATAACATGCAATTTAAAGGAATCTAGGTAAATTTGTATTGAGCTTGATGTTTTTCTAATCCTTCTTACCAGCATTTCCCGAAAATCCACCAATTGTCAGTTTATATTTCGACCCAGCATCTCCAACCTTGAATGTTGAGTATTTTGCATACCTCTTTTCTCCTTTGAAATTTTCCATGTCCACTCTCATTTCTGTATTTGCTATATTTGTTTCCTATAAAACAAACTTTTCTTTCGATTTATTCTCTTTTATTATGTGTCTAGGCTATGTGTTTGAAGATATCCATCCTTCCCAAGATTAGAAAAAAAACAATGGTCTGGAACGAACAAATCAAAACAGAAAAAGAACCAACAGGTTTACACTTTTGCCAATTTGATTTATATTAAAATTATGGAAATGACAAGATAATTTTAAGATGACTTAAAAGCAAAACAATATTATTTTATCCTCTATTACATAACTAATGTTTAAGTGTTTGAAGTAATATTGCAAATACAAACAAGTGTACCTCAAAGAATTTGGTATTATACTTATAGATTTAATCATAACAAATTATACATACAACAATAGTAAAGGGACGGATATGTTGTGGCTGTTCATTAGACACCAATTTCATTAAATACCAAAAGTAACCAAAATATTAAAGGAATTATTATTTAAAACAGGGAAACATCAAAAGGGGCAAGGTGTCACATTTAAGGAAAATAAGCCGGGATCGCGCTTACGACATGTTATAAAAGTCAAAAATATCACGATGACATCTGTTTAACTTTCAAAGGGATGACGACAAATTACCAATAGGGATTCTTGGTTAAATAGCTTTCTTGTAAACACTCTATCATGGAACCCATGACAAGAGAAATTGATTTTCATAGCTGTTTTTATTTGAACCATTTATATAAGGTCGTCAAAGATAAACCCGAAAAGATCACACTATACAGGAACGAACAAAATGAATCTTCTCGTGAATCATCGTCATGCTTACTTGGAACAATTTTCATTCCATTATGCTCCCTCTTTTAATAGGACACACTTACATACAAGAATTACATGTAGTTATCATACATATTGTTTAAGAATCGTGTAGATTACTTATGGAATCTACAATTATGAAATTTACATATGACGTCATTAATTATATAAACAGAAGTGCTTCAAGTATGTACAGAAAGATTGTATTTACAACCATATTTGTTACTTAGAATTTAATTGATTATATTAGAAAAGTTGATTGATTAAGTTTATCTATTATATTTCACAGATTTTCACAAACCCGGAACATATAATAAACAATAGTATTATGTTCTGTTAGTGTATCACACTTTATCATATTTTGCCGTTCCATTAACTATTTTCTCTTAATCTGTTATATACAATGAAGGTATATAACTTTTTAGAGTTTTATTTTACGCGTTGTGCATTTCACAAATGTTTGTAAGGGAATAGTTGTGGAGCACTTAATTGTAAACACGCATTTACAGATAACAACAGTGAACTTTGAGAGTATCTTTATATTAACTAACACCTTATGATATTCTAACAATGTTGTCATATTCTCGATACAAAATAACAGGTAATTAGAAAACAGTGAATGATACCACTACATATATGATAAAGTGTACTATGGTAAATTGTTATTTACTTAAATGTCTCATAACGGGAACGAAATGAAAGAAGCGAATGGTAAAAAAAATATGTTATACCCATAAAAACAATAATAGAAAAATTAAAGTATCATGCATGACTTACCTTACCAAAATTCCCGATTTAAGTCTCCAAAGCCATTTTCATATTCTAACCATTTTTTATTGAAGACCTGAGAACCATCCATTCGTCTGATAAGAACCTTGAAATGTAAAAGATATATCAGAATGCCGTGTATCCGAAAAGAAACATTTAATTTGTATAACGTCATTACATATTTTGTTAAATTCTATGTATAAATTTCAAGAAATAATATATGAAAGCGAGTTTGTTGTTGAAAATGCATAAACATTTTGAAAGTCCTATTTTGGGTTCCGTTGTTTTTGGCACATTTTTTTTTCTGATTTGTACCTCCATCCTCTTACTAATAGTTGGTCACTCCTCCTTTTTTCAAAATCCGTTATTGCTGTTATAATTTCTTTCTAAGGCTTACTTAAAAGTTTTGTTTGAAAGTAAAAGTGCAAAAATCTAAGTTGAATATCTTTAAAATACGCAACTAGGGACGAGATAGTGCATCTGATACAGGGTAGGATAAGATGGAACTTAAAAATGCATTTATTATCAAGTATAATTATACTTTATGCAAATTTTTTATATTATCCATTCATTTCATTGGACACGCGGCATTTGTTTATTTTCACTAACCTTTCATAAGCCCCGCCCACCAATAGTGATAATACCTAAAATTAACACCCGCTAAGCCGATTCTTATTTTTACATCATTTCCGTCGTTTTGTAATTGTTATTAGTAAACTATCTTAATTCATGACTATTTTTTTACAATTGTCTTTCTAATAGCATAGTGTACATTTGTATCACAAGGCATTTAGTATAATAAAAAAAAGCCATGTGTTAGGGTGATTAACACCTTCATCCAAGGGCAATATGTTTATAATAATGCATCATTGTCTAAGTCGTTGTGAAAACCGTTTAAAACGTTCTTTGCATAATACCGTACGACTATTGAATAAATACATACATAAATTTAATATTTAGGGATATATATGTAACACTCAGAAACGTGTCCTTCCCCCAAACTGAACTGCAAAACATGTCTAAATGTAAAAGGGCGCCAAAGCTTGTCATTTGTCTAAACGCCCAAACGTGTCCATTTTCTAATGAACACCCAAACGTGCCCAATCCCCCAAACGTGTCCATATCAAGCTTAATTTTTTTCTTTTACTGGAACTATCATTCGTGTCCATATTATAAATACGTAGGTTATTTGGTTATTGCTTTTTTCAATAACGTATACTCATTTTACTATTTCATTAAAAAATAGAAATAAATTACTGTAGGTCTAATTTAAACCGGCAGTATAACCTGGTTAAAAGTGGGGGCGTCCGTTCGGCTATGTTGGATGTAAATGTAAGCAGCCATGCTCAGTTAAATTGTAGATCTTAAATCAGATATCTCGTGTAGGGAGAATGTCCCATTCTCTGCGCATTGAAACCTTTGTTGCATTTCACTCTTTCACGGTGCCACCAGTTGTATATTGGAAGGCAACTTTTTTTTTTTAAATTTCCGCAACTTTTATTTAAAACGGCCTCTATAACATAACAGAGACTGAAGTAGTTTCTTACTGAAGTCATTAAAAAATTGGTCTTTACTCGCTCTTAAATTTTTTAGATTAAAATCCCAACTAGTGTTAATCCCGAATAACCGTAAAAATTTAGGCCCAATCCTAAATGTCCGGTATGATAATAGAAGTTATCTACAGTTTTTATTGTTAACATGATGTCGTTCAAATAATGCATGAAATATTTGGCACTGGACGTTATTTTTCTTGTTCGTGTGTCTTTAGTGATGCTCGAAACCTAAAACTCATTAAAAAAACCTGAAAACCAGTTTTTGATTTGAAGAGCTTTTCAAATATCAGAACTGTTGAAAAAAAGGGACGTCAATTCTGCTGAAAGCCCGCCGTCGGATTTTATAAAAGGCATCATCGGAGTTTATTAGTAACACATAATTTACATAGTAAACGATTAATTCAACTGCACCAGAAATATTTGTATGTTCGCTCTAAATGAGCATGAAATACTTGCAACTGGACAATAAGCAAATTCAGTCAAAAGTTAATTCATATGTTACATATTAAATTTGCAATTATGATAATCATTAACAACCGGCATTGAACAAACTAATGCTAATAAATTACTACCTCATCAACTGTTTCCCCCATCATAGAATTGCCGTAAACGTTATTGATTTTATTCAGTAGAACATACATGTATTGGCGCTAAAAGACGTGAGACGTTCTGGCGTTTAATAGTGGACACGTTTTGGCGAATAACAATTATCGGACACGTTTTGGGGTTTTGAAATCGGACACGTTTGGGCCATATTGAATATTACGGACAAGTTTGGGGAGAATAGACACGTTTGGGGGAATCGGACACGTTTGGGGGGGGGGGGGGGGTGGGGGTGGGGGGGGGGGGGGGTGGACACGTTTGGGAGTGTTACATACTTCTAAATCATTATGCTGTTATAAAACGCTTCTATTTTGCTTTTTTTGTCTTTACCTTAGGCGTCTAGCGTGCATTAATGATACATCAATCGTATGTTAAAAATCCAAATTAATGTTTTCCTACCTATTCTAAAAATATGTAAAAGTTTACATTAGCGGCTAACTTACTGTCCAGCGCCCACCGTCGGTCGTCATATCACAATAAACCTCGAATCCCATTCCGGCAGTTGGGTATATTCTATACACACCACTAGTGTCATGTTAAGGGTCGAGGTCTGAACAGTCCTTTGCTTTATGTACTGTTAAGTAAATTAAAGAGAAAGATATTTATACATCTAGAGAATAAAGAAAATGTAGGATATACTTCAATGAGACGTGCATCCTAACAACATAACGAAGTTGATATCAAGATTTACATACATGACCTTAAGTTAACTCTTTGTATCGCCATTGATACATCTCATTTCCATGGAGATTATTTGTACCTGGCCCTAAGTAATCATGGTGTATTGACTTTGTCATTTTTGCTTATGTTAAATGTTCAAGTTTCCGATAGGATGAGTCTACGAAAAACTACCGATGGTAAGTCAGTGATATTTGGTATGTATAGTTGTATAATCATTAGCCGGTTTCATTTTCATGCACATTTTTGACCACACTCCATCAGTCATGGTCTACTGACTTTCAAATTTTTTGTATAATTTATACATTAAAGTTTAATCTGCGGTTATGTTAGTTAAAGTATATTCACTAATGCTAAGTCATTGGTATTTGGTATACTGTCGTTAAGCATTAGCATATCTCATTTTCGTGGAACTTATTTGACCCTGTATCTCATGTCATTGTTCATTGACTTTAATGTTTTGCGTATTTTACATGTTCTAGTATTGCCATTTTAATTTCATTGTTTGTATTTTATCAAAATTACATACAGGCAAGACATTTCATTGTGTTAATACCATTGTAATTTATAGATCCATAAAAATAGGTAGTTTATCGATGTAAAAAGATAATGATTTGCTGTAAGAATAAG